TAGAATGGGCCCTATTATTGGTTGTCAAACATAAAGATCATCAAAAGAGACTTCAAGAAGAGATCGATGGTGTGATCGGTAGAGACCGGAGCCCCACTTGGGCTGACATATTTGATATGCCGTTTACACAGGCATTTATTAATGAAAGTTTTCGTTTCAAAACACTTCTACCATTAAATTTAATGAGAAGGTAAGCTGATAATTAATTATCATAAATAAATTAATAGTTAATAGACTATTATAATCAATTATAAACTCATTTTAATTTTTAATTATTAACAGTTCTGTAGAAAATTCGTCAATTTTAGGAAATTTTATACCAAAAAATACGAGAGTATTAGCAAATATATGGGCCGTTCATAACGACCCTAAGGTATGGCTTAATCCGCAAATCTTTAATCCAAATCGATTTCTTACCGATGATGGAAAGGAAGTGATTAAAATCGATGCCTTAATACCATTTTCTACAGGTATTTTCATTGAATTTTATTTCCTTTATTGTTTTCCATTGACTTTATGAACAATAAATGATTGATTTGTTTGTTGTTTATTAGTAATAATAATAAGTTATTAGAAAATTCCTAACAAAACATTATATAAGGACATAATTGATTACATAATTCATTCAATGTAAAAATTGTCCAATAATTGGGTTATATTTTCCTTTCCAATACAGTATACACTATACTATAAATAATTTAATTATTAACAAATATTTATAATCATTTTTTCTGTGCAATGAATTAATTTTAATTACTCTTTGCTATAAATAACTAATCATTTCTTTTGAGCCGACGTTAATATAATTTGTTTTATTATTTTATTTTAATTATCGATTAACGATATTTCACAGTATATTTAGTACATGTATAACAAATCGTACCATGTTTAGTATAACGTCAATTAACGAACAAAATTACATTCATAATGAAAATAATAATAAAGTCTGCGTTAAAGTCAGTGACAAATTCAAGGATATTCTGTAGCCTTTATATGTCTTTCACATTATATACGTTAGATTTTCTGGAACTCTGCCTCTGCTCTACATTTTGTGTTCAATAATATGTGTTAAACCGTTGAATGAATTTTAATTATTATTTTAAATTATATGTGACATTCATTTCGAGTAAATTAAGTTTATACCATAGTTAGCAGTCATTTGTGGTTAAGTTTATTTCAATAATACATTTCAATTTCTCTCTCTCTCTCTCTCTCTCTCATATTGAGTTTGTTATTGGATTTAATATTGTGAACACAATATAAAATAAAAGCATAAGAATTGGGAAAAATTGTTTTTTATTTCTTGAAACATTCATTTCGGTGAACACATAAAGAATCAGATTTTCTTATGAATTACATAACAATGACCTCATTTGACGTAACATTTTGTTTACAACATTGTAGTCAATATTATGAACAATATCTTTGTCAACAAAATTATTATTTTTGTTCCCAATTTAATTAGTTATTAATCTATTAGGAAAAGAGATTCTGAAAGTGTTTTGTTATATAATAGCAATTGTGATAATTTGACAGCAAATTACCAAAATTAATTATACTTGAGATTTACTCAACATTTGTTAACCATATTTAATGTCTATTATATAGACTATTCCTTTGGTTAAGCAATTTAAATAAACAATTTTCTTTTAAATTAATTTTTGATTTAAAAGTACTTAATATTACGTTAAATTTAAAGTGATTTTAATCTATTATTTACTTTACATTTAATATTCTCTTTTCTAAATCAATATTTAAAATTAAATCTATTTTTAAAACTTTTTAACCTTAAGAATAAAAATTTGTATTCAGATATTTAATACGTGTGTGAAATTAATGCTAAATATATACCACTCTTATTCATACAGTTATTTCAATCGCGGATACAATTCTTGTATGAATTGTTGGATAAAAATAATTTTTGAAAAACTTATGAATTATAAAATATATTTATCTTTTTAACACAACTATCCATTCAATAGACATATAAAACATGTAAAACATAGACGTAATAGTAGTCCTCAACTCAAATCGCTGGAGACATCGGTATTGAAATTGATGTAATGTATGGCAACTTTTGAGAGAAACTTTACAAATACTCTAAACAAATATTTGACTCTCGGCTCAGTTTATTAAACTTAAAATAAAATATCGATTTTATTACACATACAAAAGACCGCTATTTTTAATCTCTGACTTTTTTTTGCATATAAATTCATTGTCACTGAAAACTCATTAACACTCTCTGTAAAGGTATTGATATATTTAAATATTGTATTAAATATTCTGAATACGATATTTTGAGCTTAAATATACGATGAGCTGTACATCGAGTCTGGAAATTATTATTATAAACAGAAAAATATTAAATATCTATTCTGTGATAATAAGTGTATAAAAATAGACTTTCATTCTTCACCAATAGAGTCAAAAATATTATTTAATGATTACACAATATCTGTAGACAACCAACAGGTGAATCAA